AACAAATTAGTTAATATGATGATGATGTTGGGAGCCAAATTTCTCACTGTTGGAGATGTAAAATACAAATGTGGAATGGTTAAATGCTAGGAAGTTGAATTAGAATTTGATGTATCAGTGTAAAATTATGATTGTTTAAATGCATTTTATTTTTATTAATTGGTTGGTTGATCTCCCCACTGCAGCTCTGCCTCCTGAAATAGTCTAGAAGCAAAGATACCTCAGCAGCAATGAACATATCCAGTGCCCAGATCCTGATTTATAAACAGAACTCCCTATTAAAAGGAGCCGTGAATCACTAGGAGAATGGGTAACGTCAGAGCAGGAAAAGTACAAAATGAGCTTGGAACATTTTGTTGTGCCAGAAAGTAAGAAAGTACCCCAAAACGATGGGGATATATCAAAAGAAGAGAAACAAGTGTGAGGAAGTTTCTATTAGATAAAAAGATCTGGAAATATTCAGAAATTGGAAAGAAACATGATGTACTTGAAATCATTGCACTTTTTAGAGGTTGTATTTGCAGTTAAAACTATCAGTTGAAACTGCTTAAAGGAAGAAAAATATTACTAGATTCACAGTTTAAAATATTTTACTCTTTTGGAAACAGTATTTACTATTAAAACAACATAACTAATATATTTCACCTACAAATATAAGGGCAACTTTTTAGAGTAGCTGAGTATCAGAATAACTACATGCTCTAACTATACAAATAAAGCATTTGAAAACATTTCCCCCCCAAATTTCTTCGATAGCTTCGAATTTCCACAACTGAAGTGCGCTCTAAAAAGACGGTGAGCCTGTCCTCTCCCACTTCAGTCCGGTACAACCATGCGCCACTTAACAATGAGGACACGTGCTGAGAAACACGTTGTCAGGCAGTTTTGTCACTGTGCGCACAGCACAGGGTGCACTGACAGGAGCCGAGAAGGCAGAGCCGGCTCCACCCCTGGGCTGCCTGGTCTAGCCACTGCTCCCAGGCTGCAGCCCTGCACAGCAATGGATCAGGTCAGTATCAAATACTGTAGGCAACTCTAACACAACCGTAAGCAGTTGTATATCTAACCATGTCTAAACATAGAAATGGTACGGCAAAAATACAGTGTAAAAGATAAAAAAAAAAACCCCATCCCGGGGCCTCTCCTTCCACCCACAGCCGCCCGAGCTCGGCACTCGCACACAGCCCCACAAGTCTAGAGAACACAGAAAATACGACTCCGGGCACTAAGAGCAAAAGTCCTGGTGAGATCAGAAAAAATGCTCTCCAGATACATAAGGAAAAAAAAGACATATGCAAATTAAAAGGGTAATAGTGATTATATTTGGATAGTAGAATTATGAGTAATTTTTCTTCTTTATTTACTTTCCAAATTTTTGATAGTCAATAGGAATTACTGTTAGGAACCAAATACTTTCTTTTTAGAAGGAGTAAGTGTAATTACTCTCCCTGTAATGTATTGTGCTGCAGTATGTAACAGAGAAAAGCATTTCTGTAGCACTGCAATTACACTAAAAAAAATACATATCTATACATACACACACAAAAAATAATTTAAAGATTAGAGATACAAATTTAACAAGATAACAATTTGACAATATAATTAGAAAGCCTGTTTATACTCTAAGTACATAATGTTTTATCATAACAGATCAGATATATTTAATTATTTTCTTTAATAACCTATGAGTTGAATTTTCCAGTAAAGCCACAAGTTACTAATTGCTCCAGGAATCAGAAAAGAGGTTAAAAAGTTAAGGGAAAAAAAGTGTCCTATGAAATCCACTACTTTCAAATAATAATTCTTATATTTCCAAAACCCATCACTTAAGCCAAAGACAGCAGTTAAGATATCAGTAACATTTCCTAGACAAGTACATGATCAATTAATTATATTTGCTTCAGGAAAATGAAGAGAGTAAATACTAACCATGATTTTGAAATCAAAATGGAGATAGTATTAGGCAGATGGGGAAAGTGTCAGTATAGTACAACATAGCCTTTTACATATTGGCAATCAGTATTTTAACCTCCTACATTTCTACCTAGATTTGTTCATCCATCCTTATCCTACCTTCCTAGTTACCTTACTATATGTACTACATGTGTAAGTCTGAGACTGCAGAAATAACCAGACACAGACCCAACCAGATTCCTTTCTTTTTGAAATTTTCTTGGCTAAAACCTAAATCAACCAAGTCTTAGTCTCCTTAAAATTTCAGAAACCCTGAGTGACTATAATCATTAAGAAGAGCTTAGAGGCAGGCAAAAACTTCTCTTCCTCACACTTTTTAAGAAAAGGTATCATACATACAAACTAATAGAAGAATAAATTAAGTGGGGGTTCATTTGCCCCCCCCATTTAGGAACCAGTTGTTTAAGTAAAGTTCCGGGCTCTCAAAAGCTCCAAATAAAACAGGTAAAAACAGCAGTATTTGAATTTAAAACAAGGAAAGTGACCCGAAGACCCATTTGCTTTATGTTGTTACCACCATCGCCCTGCTTCCCACATCTCTGGTGGAACCCCTGGGGCAGGATGTTAAGGGGAGAGAACTGAGAAATCCTGGTGGAATACATGGGAAGAAAAGAACTACTGAAATCACCATTATAATTGTATATACTTTTATGTTAAATTATATTTGAATTCTCTCTGAATCACCTAACACATACTGAACTCTCAATAAACAATTAGTCAGCAAACAAAAGAAAAGGCATCAGACTGGCGCTCATTCGGGTTGCGAGGCACTTCAGTACGGTGCACCAGAGGGCCGTGTGAGACACTCCGTACTACTTTACTCCAGTAGCTCAGCTAGAGCATCTAAAATATGTTACAGTCGATTCTCATTAATCACGGTAGTTATGGTCTTTAGAGTTCTGCAAACAGTGAATTATCAAACATAGGATTAGGTTCCTGTCATATAGTCATCAAACAACCAATACATCACTTTGTTTTATGTATGTTTGTGTTTAAGGACACCTTATTTTTTATAGATAGATATATATATATATATTTGATCCATTTGATATATATATATATTTGATCCATTAACATTAAACTCAAAGTCAACAACACTTAACTCATTTCTAAACGAAGATTATCTAACACATGTGCTCTCTCTGTAAGGCATATCACAGACCTCTTGCACTAAGGAACACTAGACAGGACTACAGTACTTCAGCACTGCACTTAGGAGTCATTTTAAACAAAATCACCACCAAAAAGCACAAAAATAGGAAGAAAAACGTAGCATTAAATAGACCACAAAATGGATGCCTGATTACAGCATGGGAGCTGAAACAAGAGGGCAGAGGATCCCCGTGTTCAAATTATTTTTTATTTTTCTGTGCAAGTGCCTGTCTGCCAATGACCATGTGCCGTGAGTATTGACTTTGGGGTTACAAAATAATTTTAGCAAGCAAGTCTGCAAATACAGAAACCATGAATAATGAGAATAAACTATATTTTCTTAGACAATCAACTCTCGTATATTTTAATATAGGCACAAACCATGAGGATTAGTGTATTAGAAAAGGTACTATACAGATAGGGGGAAAAAAGAGTAAAAATTAGAATTAAAATGAAGGCTCGAAATTCTGCATCAATCATATCTACCGACCTTTTAATATATCTGTGGTAGATTACACTGTCATTCTTAAGCTATCAACCCTCCCTGGATCCACAATCTTTGACAAGTGATACTACAGTTCCTCTCAGTAGAGACCAGGCATATTTCTCCACTATACTGATGTTGCACACGGTTGTGTGATTTGCTCTGGCCAATGGAATGTCCGTGGACATGATAACAGCAAAGGCTTGAAATGCGCTTCGAGCGTTGGGGTTTCCTTCCTGTGTTTCTCCCATCACCATGAGAAAAACATGCCTTCACAGAGCCCTTGGATGTCAGGAGGAACAGGGGCACAGAGAGTAGACCTAGCCTCTACCTGCAGCTGAAGGCCAAACCCAGCCAAGAGCCACCAACCCACAGATGTGTCCGCAATTATAAATAAGCCATTAAGTTTTATAGCATTATTGTGGCTATAGTTAATTGATATTTAATATAATTATACAATAATTTTTAAATATCAGTACCCTACTAAAAATCTTCATATAAAAACAGTTGAGGAGACCCTCTTTCCTTCTTGTCCTAAAGCCTAGTACGTAGGAGGTTCATGGTAGACTGTGTTTCCAAAGCTGGCTCCATCCATGTCTCCCAACCCATGTGATATTTTAAATGTGATCTTGTCATTTACACATCAAATTATGGAGTCTCTCTCCTCTCTCCCCAATTTGTACTGTCCCTATCATGTTACATAAGATTTGAAGCCAAATCTTAAGAAATCTGAAGTTTCCCTGGTCATCCTTCATGGAACCCAGTCATCAAGCAAGAAGTCAAACCCCACTGAGTCCACCACCCTGAGAAAAATCCGAAACCAGACATGTGAAAAGCAAGGGGGAGGACAGGGCAGAAGCAGGGGAGAGAAGGGAGAGAGAAAAGGATGCCATGAGGTGGGGCTCCAACCATCACCCCATCTGAGTGAGGTCATTTTGGACTTTATAAATCATCCTAGTGCCCCAGGCGACACTATATGAAGCATAAGGATTACCTGATCAGCCCTGGCTGGTGTGGCTCAGTGAACTGGGCACTGGCCTGTGAACCAAAAGGTCACTAGTTCGATTCCCAGTCAGGGCACATGCCTGGGTTGCAGGCCAGGTCCCCTGGTTGGGGGCATGTAAGAGGCAACCAACTGATGTATCTCTCACACACTGATGTTTCTCTCCCTCTTTCTCCCTCCCTACCCCTCTCACTAAAAAAGAAAAAGTAAATAAACAAAATCTTTAAAAAATAATAATAATTTCCTGATAAATTCATAAAATTGTGAGAAATAATAAATTATATAAAACAAGATAGGAACTTTTGGAGTGAATTATGGCAACTCAAATTGTTAATAAATGTGTGCTGAATGAATTAAATTCACAAAAGTATTCTGTTTAATGCTTACCTTGGTGTTGGCCATGTCCACAATATACTGGTCTCCTTTTATACATTCCATTACTTCAAAACCATCTCTGTCGATCACTTTGGCTTGAGAGCTTCCAGATACAACAAGAATCATGTCTCCTGTGTTACTATACTGTAATGACTTGATCTGATGACTATGCAAAATAAAAAGAAAATAGTCTTGTAAGACGCTGAACATAATGTTTATACTTTAACCACATCAAGCACTGCCAGAGAAAAAGTCACACAATTGCACAAATTGACAATTCTACAAGGTCGGGAACATCGGCCTCAAATGGGCCCTCACCGCCAGCGGCTGTCCTGTTAGTTCTCCTTCCCACTCTCCACAGCGATCTGTTCAAATCTTCTCTACTCACTTTAAGTCTTTACCCAACTCCCCCTCTTCCAGCTGTTGATTCTTCCATCTTTTCCCCAGAAGAAACAAATAAGAACTGCCTCCATTTCCCTATTAATATTATCAAGTTACTTGCATCTGAACCCTCTTCTTCCTTCTCTTTGATAACTGTTTTGGAAATGAACCACTTCCTGCACGAGGAAAATCTACCAGCTACATGCTGGGTCCCATCCTCTCCCGTCTCCTCGAACACTTCCATCCTCTCTCTCCTCCCCTCCACAGGTAAGGTGTTCAAACAAGTTTTCATCTCCTCCTTTTCACCCTCTAGCCCTACAGTACCCGTTCCACCCACACCACCCCACAAAAACTGACCTTGCCCTCGTGGCTATGTCAAACGCTGTGGTGTGCCACCCAGATCGACCCCTTTAGGACTGAAGTACTCATTCCCCCAGATTCCAGGATTTGGCCTACTAATGGCTAACAACTGAGCCCTCAGGAATTGCCCTACGTTGCAGAGAACTCCCTCACCCAAGGTTATGGTACCATCCCGCAGCAGCCCGCATTCAATGACTGGCTGACAGGCAGTAAAATGGTCCAGCCCTCTGTTTCGAGGGGTTTACCTGGGAAGGGTTACTCTACCGCTCTCCCTGCAAGATTCACGGAGGCTGCTCTTGCAGTTGCACGGCCATTCAACTTCTCTGTCTTCCTAATGCTGTTTCCTTTGCACCTTCTCTCAGGGGGGCTGATCCCAGAAGCACTCCCCAACAAATCTCCTGCATGCCATTCCTGAGGTTTCAAAGTGTGTTTTGGGGAACCTGGCCTGACAAAGTTGCTATCAAAAGTGGCCGTGTGAAGTTGGCCCCCAAAATGAGACTTTGGAGTGGTATCAATCACTGACTGGCTACAACAACACACCATCGCTCATGGTATATAGCCCTGACATGCTGCAGCAGTGCAACGGTAATTTCTAGATTTTTTTTGGTGAAACAGAAGGCACTGGATGGTGCAATTTTTCAGGCTATATAAACTCTGCTTCACATGCTCACAACTATAAACCAACGTTTTCCCTACGTGGTACATGAATCCGTCACCACCGCACACACTATATCCCAGCACTGTCCACTGGAACTTTGTGACGATGGAACTGTTCCACACCCATGCTGTCCCTCACAGCAGCCACTAGCCACGTGGGCCTGCCAAGCATTTGAAGTGTGAGTACTGCAACTAAGGAACTTGATTTTTAATTTTATTTAATTTTAATTGAAATAGTCACATATACTAGTGGCTAGTGCACTGAGCAGTCTACCCGTTAACAGTATGAAATAAATATAAAATAATCTCAACTCTGGGACAACAGAAGATTCTTACCACCTCATGCAATAGATGAAAAAATGAAATACTAAGGTAAGTAAAATGTTGATTTAAAACAAAAGGAAAAAACCTAATGAAATATATAGAAGTCCATTTGGATGACAATAATACCAGTACTAAAAAACTCAGTGTGCAACCCCTAAATAGTCTTTCTAAATTTGTTAGAAAGACTATTGAAGTAAACTCCTTAAGTAAAAATTTCTTACTCGCCTTGCTAAAAAGCAGTCTATATAACATTCTTCAGAGACAGCATGATAAACTACCACAGCAGAGCAATCTGAGAGGTGTGTTATCATAGGTGCCATGCTCTTAAAAAAGAAATCCCCAAATAAATATGAAGGGAAAGCAAGAAACTATGCACCTTAAATAGATATTAAAAACAAACCCATAAAGAATTCTCATGAAGAACCCACTTAATAATCAGAGTCCCAAACATAAAATTTTTCTATCGAAAATAAAAATGAACATCTGCCTTCATAGCTTCCTTTATGAAGAATCCTACACAGGCCACTCTCAAAATAAAATAAACTTCAGCAATAAGGTAATTTTAACAAAATGTTAAGCTATTTAGTCCAATTTACTTCCAAAGTCTATAATTTCAAGGCTGAGAAATAAATGGGTATTTCAGAAAATAATTTGTTTTCTAGAAATAGAAGATATATAAAAAATTACAACTTATGTGTGTCTAGCTAGGTCTTATCTCAATGATATCATTGTGCCTGGTTGGTTACCAATTCCAAATCAAATACTTACCAACAAAACTCCCATTCTGCACAGTCAACACTAACTAGGAACTGCTGTTTGAAATGTGTACTGGCCCTTTCTCTTAAAATGATGAAATTCTATCTGATAGTTTTTAGAATATTTATTCTTCAAAAAGTCATTCTTAAGTGTACTGATTCACAGCGCTGCCTCTAATGGCCAAGGTAATTCAAAAAAAGGTCCGCGTGGGATCCGGGGTTAGGATGTGTGACGATGTGAGGACTTTAACCACAAGGCCCGCAATCAGAGTGTCGAGGCAGGTGAGAAACTGAAGCTCCCAAACCAGGTGTTTATGAACAAGGAACCTAGAAAAGCCAAGGCGAGGCTACCACCTGGGCCCTTCCATCCTAAAGATGAAGAGCCTCTCTGGCCACGTGGCCGCCTTCCTGAGATACGGGAAAGGAATGAGATCCTCAGCACAATTCTCACCAGGATCCCAAATTCAAATGCAAATCCAGGCCACGTCAAATTAAATGTTTGAACCAGTGTGCCAGCTATCCATGTACTGCCTCTCAGCTCCAAAGTCAGTCTTCACTGCCTGCTCTGCAAAGATGGACTTGGGCCCTTCAAATATGTGTCCTTTGCCAACTGGCATGGAGTTCGGTTTTGTGGGTGGAGGGGGCCGCAGCAGATCCAGGGTCCCCCTCGCCTGGCTGGTGTGCTCCTCCAGGCGGGCACCTGCGCCGCACACGGCCTCTGCCGGGCCTGGCCGCTGTGGCCGCGCCGCCTCTCCGCTCACTACCAGGCTACGGGCGTGCGCGGCCCGCAGCTGGCAGCACCAGGAGCCTCGCCCAGAACCCCTTCGTCGTTTTGCAGCAGAGGGGCCCTGGTGAGACAGGTTTCTGGAAAGCTCTGCTGTCATAACAGCACAGCCACAGTCATTCCGCGAGCCACAGCCTTGCCCTCTCAGATGAGGTCTGGAAAAATGGGAGGCCTCTCCCTTGCACACTCTCTCTCTACACTAGTGGTACTGGCTGCTCCTTTCATCTGCTATTCCCACAGTCTTTACAGTTTTCTTTCCCTTTTACTAGCTAGTCCCTCATTACTCCCATCTGCTGTTACAGCCAGTAATTCTTTATTATAAACCTTCCCTGTTCAAATTACTATGTCACTTCTCTCTCCTAATCAGACCCTGACTGATATATTAAATTTCAAATTAGGAGCTGAGAACATTAGAGACTGCTTAGTCCAGTATTTTTTATATATAAACAAACATATCTTTGATAACTAAATAGTTCAGATTGCTAACTCGAAGCCTTATAAAGTAGATGAGAATGAACCACTTAGTTCACAGGGTATATTTTGGTTTACAGTACTCCCATTTGGGGGAAGTCTTAATTTTCTTAACTAACTCTGAAAGATCAAGTACTATAAGTGATCACTTTTTTTTTTCCTGGTGAATAGTTTTAATTTCCAAAAGGGAAGGAAAATCTAGGGGAAAAAAAACACAGTTAAATTTAAGAAGACAAGTTAGTAAAAAAATTCAGTGGCTCCATTTCTCTGGCTACTTGCTCTACCAAACTGCTCTGTTTACATTTGGAAGGAAATATAAAATCTCAGCGATCCCACACTAATATTCACCTTGCTTTTTCAGCATTACAGGAAAATGGAATGTTTCCCTCTGCCTAACCGCTTTTCATGTCTCTTTGCCAACATTAAAATGAAAGGTTCGGCACCGGGCTCACCATCCCTGTCCCACTCCGATCTTCGTTCTGCTAGCCACAGAGTTAAAAGGACAGGATTAAGGGCTATTAGACACAGTACTAGGGAGAATTAAAGGGCTCGTTCAAGGGGTATAACATCTGCTCCTCACATTCCTGCCTCAACAACGAAGATTCCGATCAAAGAGAAGAGAGGGGAAGCCAGCCCTGACAAGGCACTGGAGTCATGAGGAAGTGAGTGTTCTCTCGGGGTGTCACTCTGCCACCAGAGGAAGGCTTAGTGACATTGCACAATTCTCTCTGTGAAGTTTTCATGGGGGGAGCGGGATATGTGAGTGTAAGTGGAGGGGAGTGGAAAGGTGAAGATTGAGGATCCTTTTAAGTAGTTTTTGCTCCGCTAGCAGAACAAGCTGAGACATGCAAGACAGATAAACACAGCTGCTTGGGGCTGTCACTTGGGGCTCAGGAGCCAAGGTGTCCTGATGTAGTGAAAAGCGCACCGGAATGCGAGTCAGGCGGCCAAGCATTCAAGCCCTCGCCCTGCCACTAACTAGCTGTGTGATGTGGGGCAAGCTTCTCAGCGCCACTAGCCTCGGTCTCCCCATTTTTTCTGGAAAATCAGTTGCCCAGACTAGAAAGGCAGCACTACACAGAGGTGCTACTGAGACAAAGAGTTCACACACGAGCTGTACGACTTTGCTGAGTCCTGGGTCCCGCCACTGCAAAGCCAAGAGAAACAACAATCTGTGGGGCCCAGGGAGAGCTGAAAGCAGCACACACCAAGGGAGCTCACGCCGTCCGTGAAGCAGGCAGTTGCTACTATCATTATTTCCTTCCTTCTGAGGTCTCCTTAAGATTATTTGAAGGGGGAAACATCAGCATTGGAAGCTGAAAGAGCAATTGAAAGGTAGAACTATTCAGAAATTTCTGTTAGAAAAGGACCAGAGTGATGAGAAAAACACCTCCCAAAAAGGGTGCAACAGCCTCGTGGGAAAGTCCCCCACTA